TGATTATTATTTACTAAATAACAGAAAACAGTTTTGATACACAGTAGTATAGTTTTGGTGGTGCGCTTGATAACAGCCATTGAGGGTTTAAAAATATACAGTACACTGACTGATTTTATTTGAGATGGCGTACAATCTTCCTCATCGCACCCTGTAATTTGTCTGAAGCAGGTGGGCCTACAATGGGGCTCCGACGTGAACAAAGCATGAAATGTCTGCGGGGAAATGTATCATTTTAAATACTTAACCAACATGATGATGATGGCATGGAGCAGAGGATCAACAGAAAGGGATAGTTGCTTCATGGTGAGATACCAGTCAAAGGAGACAAGCAGCATGTCCCCCTAACAACTAATAAAAAGATAGAAGGAAAGACGCCTCCAGGCACAAAAAAAAAAAATTGGAAACCAGTGAGAGAGGGAGACGGAGAGGGTTTGGCTTTTGTTAAAGTTTGGAGCGGCAAGCAGGCTCAGAGACTTACAAGTAGAAACACGTGGACAAGGCCAGGCAGATGCTACGTGTTGCTGGCTACAGCTCAGAGGCTTGCTGGGGAATGCAATTTTTCACTCAGGCTTTTTTTTTTAAGTTGCATTGCAAGCTCTGTGCTGCATGTAAGTCTTCCTATGCAGAATGAAGCTAAAAAAGAATCTGTGAGGTTTTATTTATCTACTGCTTAAGTAAAGCTGTTGTTTCTAACTCCTGCAGCTCCATGAGCATCGCACAGTTTATGTTTCAAATAAGAGCTTCAGGAGTTGGTTCCTCCTGAAGGTTTTAAAACACCTCAGACAGCTTTAGCTTTTGTTCTTATACACATGCATCCCCTCTCTCCCAGGGACAGGACAATAATCTGTAGTGATGACTGTGAAGACACCTTTTCCCACAACCTGTTACATCTTGGCCGTTTGTACCTCTCCAACCTGCCAACGGAAAACTTGGATTTTCCTCCTCTGTTTCTCCGATAGAATTATTATCTACTTCTTCCTCTCGTACTGCGATAAGAAAACAAGGACAATGATGATTTCTACAGTTACTGGCAATGCTGAGAGTTTTGAATGTTTTCTGATTCCTCTGGTTAATGGAACAGCTATTGAAGTTTCTCCGCTGGAATTTCCTTCATTAACTGTTAGAAAACATGTAGCTCCTATAGCTACAACTCCCTTAAACTCTTCCTGAGGATTTCACCCAAACCACCAGTCTGAACTCTGAGAGACTCGCCGCAGAAAAAATATATTATAGTCTGCAGCAACTCTAAACACCAGAAAATTACCAGTTCTATTTTAGCAGTGTCCTGTGAGCTTACTCACTCACTCGCTCATTCACTCACAGAAAGTCAGTCAGAAAGGACGGCTAAGAAGACCAATTCCATCTTTAAATCTGGACCACTGATTAAAATATTAAAGCAATAGTTAAAATCACAGACAGCAAACAGGCACAGGTCTTATCGGGTGGGTTTCCTAACAGACACACAACAGGACTTCCCTTTTTTTCATTTTGCACAGAACAAACTGAAACATTAACAATTCCCCTCTAATCCTTTTTTTTTTTTTCTCTACCCCAGAAGAAAAACTCTCTCTGGGAAGGGTGTGTGGTTTATCTTGAAGCTTCCACAGGCTGCACAGTTTAAATGCAATGTGCATGTGCTGCAAACAAAAGTAAGAAAATCCACCTCTAGTTAAAAAAAAATCAAAGCCCTAAGCGGACATGCATCCATACCTTTTTATTTTACTCAGTTTTCCTGAGTACTTTTCTGCAGCTCTTCCTTCGATCTCGACTTATTAATGTCCTCACCATGAGATGAAAACACTGTTTTTTCCCGTGATAACGAGTTTTATTTCTGGAGATCTTGTGACAGCAACTAAAATTAACTAAATATCGGGGGGAATCCAGAGTTGTTATTCCAAGATAATGAGGGCAATAAGTCGAGCTCTTCTGAAATTGACTGGTTATTACAAGAAAACCGAGTAATAAAAATGTATGGATGGTAAATGGACTTGAGCTTGTATGGCGCTTTTCTTCTCTTCTGACGACTCAAAGTGCTTTTACACCGCATGTCACACTTACACATTCACACACTGATGGCAGAGGCTGCTATGTATCAGTAGTAGCTAAACCCATTCATACACATTCATACACCGCCAATGAAGCAGTGGGAGCAATTCGGGGTTAAGTGTCTTGCACAAGGACCCTTGGGACATGTTGCTGCAGGAGCTGGGGATCGAATCCCCGACCTTCCGGTTGAGAAACAACCGACTCTAGTGGCCCCAGTGGATGCATGTCTGCTCAGAGCTTCAGTGAGAAACTATAGATTAATTTATATTAATTTTTGTTTGTATCAACAAAGAGCAAGAAGAAAAGTCAAATAAAGAATAGCTTGAATTATAACTGCACTTGAAAGGCTATGTTAACCTTATGCCGACTGCAATCGTTGCAACAAAAAGTGCATGAAGAGAGTGAGGAAGTTACTAAAATGGAGATTGACAGCTGTCAGTCTGTTTGGCAGGTGTTGGATCCGCCTCCGAACATTCATTAGAGGAAGAACAGCTGCTTAAATAATACCTGCTGACTCCCAAGTTACATCCCTGAACACACACGCTTCCTCTGAGTACAATAATCTTCCCTGCAGCTGAGCGGGTAAGGTTTGCACAGATTGTGCATTTGCAAATGACAGATCAGTAGACAAATAATTAAGTGATTATAAGATGCAGCAGATGAGCTTTGATTTTGGACAACACTAAGCAACATTTATCAAAGTTTCAGTGGCAAAGAAACAACTTCCTTTAAAGGGCAGAAACCTTGGGTAAAACCAGACTCAAGAAGAGCAGCCCTCTAATGGGATAGAGGAAGATGCAGGGAGAAGGATAAGGACAAACCGGGATCCAGAAGAACCAACAAGACATTAGAGCCCAGGAGCTCCCAAGGCCAAATATCATTAGTAACTTACATAGTGCATGATGATTTACATAAAATGTAATCATATGATGTGAATGAACAGAGAGAGAGAGATAAGAGCTCAAGGTGTCAGTTCCTCCAGTCGTCTAAGCCTATAGCAGGATAACTAGAAGCTGGTCCAGACCTGTGCCAGCCCTAAGCTTTATCAAAAAGAGTGTGTCTGCCTCCCGGACCCTGACTGTTAGATGTTTCCAGAGAAGAGGGGCCTGATAACTCGCTCATTGCATTTAAAGAGACACACACACCAAAACGGAGCGTTCTGAGAGAGCTGGTTTATACAGGGTCACAAACCTCCTCATGTTGCTTGATTCATGTTATATTTTGACCAAAGCACAGCACAGATGTTTCATTTAGACCACAGGGGGGGCTGTTTGAAAAGGTATGAAAGAGGGATAATATGTCCTCTTTAATCATAAATGATAAAATCTCTATTTCATCTAGTTACCAATGTAATTATTTTAAAAACACACAGTGACCTGCCTGATTAGGCCTTCAACTTGCGCTAGCTAACTCTTACAACTGAAGAAGCTGAATCAACATCATGTAGTGAGTTTTTCATTGATTTGATTCAGCTTTTTCAATCAAGAGTCTTTGGAAAAAAGAAAGCAACGGTCGCTAAGCTATATGGTCAATTATGTCTCAGCTCGGCTCTTCTTCCAACTGTTTTTAATGTCCTACTAAATCATTGTTTCTTCAGCGTGTTAGTCTTTTATAACAAATACTTCCAGTTCGGCATTCAAGAAATTTTGTAATCTCATTTTTATTCACTTTTTCAGTTATTGTTGATCAAGCCAGTATGAAGTAACCGAACTGAAATAAGCTGTCCTTGGAAATGTAATCATAATGTTATAAATAAATCTATCAAAAATCCACATTCTGCATTGCCTCGGCATCGTCAAAACTAGACCGTTTTTTTTTAATTTCATTTTTTTTAAATGAAGATAAGTGCAGGGAGAAAATGTAAGGTCAAACCGGGCCAAACTGTAGTTGTAGAAGCTGCAACGTGTCCACAGAGTAACCAGACTGCTTTGTGGATGTGCCAACTTCTCTTCTGCTCTCCTCCCTCCCTGACTCTAACATCATCAGAGGGACATGCCTCTTTGGGAAAAGGCCTATTTTAACATTGGTTGTTGTACACTCTTTTTTTTATTGAATTATGGATTAATTGCAGGAGAATAAAGATGAAAGAACAATGATTGGTGTTTTGATTGTATTAACGTCAGTGGAGTGGTTGATGTGCATGATATTGAGATTGACAGAAGTTAACAAAAGGGAAAAGATTGCCATGTCATCATGATAGCTGGTTAGAAGTTTCTCTTCCCAATACATAAATTCTGTTCCTGGATTTGCAAAGTAATATATTTAATGATGAAGACATTGTTCTGTACAGCTTTCTTGTAGGGAATTGCTGTTGCCTGCTGGTGCTTCAAACTCTCAAAGTGTAAAGACCCATATAAAAAAATATATTATTTCATGAGCTGGATTCCACCTCGGAAATGTTTGCAAGGTGCATTAACTCTTAAGTACTTTTAAAACGCACATTGCCTCAAATCATCTACGTCTGCTCTCCGTGCGTAAATTACGCACGCTTTATGCCCCCACGTTTAAAAACCCCTGTCGTCTTCTCGAAAGAATAACGGAGCCCATGTTTTGATTAAATTGAGGAATTTGAAATAAAGAACTGAAACTTAAACCAATACTCCGCTGCTCAGCATATTTAATAAATCGGAGCTTAATCGAGGATAAGTTGAAATAAATCATCCAGTCCAACATCCAACCGAAAAGATAAAACACCACAAACAAAAGTCTCAAAAAGAAAAGTCCATGGACAGGCAGAGGATGTTAGAACACGTCTGAACGGTGGCAAGTGGTCGTGTGTGTGATGAGTGTCCTCATCATCCACGTTTGAGCTGAAACGTGAACTTGTTTAACATGTTTTAAGACGGCCCCCCTCTCTGGTGAAGGAGGGACTCTCTTTCTTGAACATGTACAAGTGTATGGTGTGTACAGGACCTCCCCAAAAGTTCTGGCATATAAAAGCCTAGCTAAGTCATTTGTTTAGGCAGTAGGGAGTTTCTGCTAGGGTCTGGATTGGAGTTATACGCAGACCGGACCCTACCCTGTATGAGTGGTGTCTGAGGAGAAAAGAGGATTCCCCCCTTTGTCGCAAAGAATCTACATGTCTAATATTTAGACATGTTCAGCTTTGTGGATATTCGGTTAGCGCTGCTGCTCAGCGCAGCAGTGCTTTTGGCCAGAGGTCAAGGCGAGGATGATAGTGAGTATAACTTTAACACATTGATTTTGAGTTGTTTTGGGACTGTGGCACCCTCAGGATGTGGATAGCCCGCAAGGATGCTGAGCAGTTTGCTGGAGCTGATCGTCCTCTGCAGGATACCTGACTCCTCTAGGCTGAGATTTGGGGGAAAAAAATGTGTTGTGCAGTGAGGAGTTATGGTTCGGGTTTTTTTTTGGAGATTTTGGATGCGAATAGGGATTTTTTTTAAAGTTTGCTGCTCTCCCTGACACGCACGCACACGCACGCTCACTGTGCGTGCGTGTGCTGGAGCGCACGCAGAAGGGGAGCAGCTGCACTTTCTCTGATGCGCAATGTGAGGACATTGGGTTCGAAGGGAATTGAAGGGAATTGAAGTAAAGTAGAACAATTAAGTAAAAAAGAACAAAGAAAACCGCAATTGATGAGATTTTGATAATGTTACATTTTGAATGCAGTTTTCACCAGTTGTTGAAGTATTTTCCTCCCAGTAAGTGCCGAAGTTTATGGATTCTTATGCCAGTAGTTTTACCACTAATGCATTAAGAGTGAGGGGGGAGTTTTGGGGGAACCAAAAATAAAAAGAGGAGAGACTTTCCAGCTGTTTTCAGGTTAATCTTTTGCACTAAAGCTTCATTGGAATGGCACATCAAATTTGACTTTGTCCTTCAGTTTATGTAAAAGTGGACTTACCAAGTTAAATAAAATTACAATGGAAAAAATCTTTTAAGTCTGACGTCGACGGTGAAATAGTCTAGACATCAATTAATCATCATACTGAGGAGGGTGCGACATCCCTACTTTAGTGGGTTAACAGCGCCTCCCAGTGGCAAAAAAATGGAACTTTCTGCATCCATCCTCCAAACCCTCTGTCCTCCCACCTCCAAGGCCCAACCTCACATCCAGCAGCCTGAAAAGCAATTAAGGTCTGCTGGTGAAATTTTCCATCTGTAGTGGGGTTTTTTTGAGGAAAAAGTCTGAGCCAAAATGTTGGGTATTGACGATGAACTCTGCAGCACACCAAAGGCATGTAATCTGACATTTTCCCGGCAAAAACAAAACAAAAAAACTTTCCATCCTAGTTTATAATGTTATAAGACGCTCTATTCTCTTAATAAGACGCCGTTGTAAGATCCGTCAGAAATCATCAGTTTCAGTTAGAGACATTCAGTTAATTATGGGTATGGACTTTTGGGCGTCCAAATGAGGCCGTATTTTATTTTGAAAGGCACAGAATGACCACCAGATGTATAACTGACTTTCAAAAGGCTACTGCTAGAATAAAACCTCCAACATGACTCGAACATAGTAACCAACAAACATCTGCATGGCTGAACAACCATCATTTTACGAGTCTTTTGCTGTTTTGTAATCAGAGTGTGATGTCTGATTTTGGTCCATTGGGCACATCTGGTTCCCATATGGTGCACATCTGGTGCAGATGTAGCCAAGATGCTTTTTCACTTTGCCAGCACATCTTACCTACCTATCTAATTTCAAACTTGCTTTCAAGTATTTTCAATCCCTTTATTTTATGTTTATTTGAAAAACTCACCGTGGTATTCTCCTCTCAGGCGCGTTCGGCAGCTGCACATTAGATGGACAGTTCTACAACGATAAGGATGTATGGAAACCAGAGCCCTGCCAGATCTGCGTCTGCGACAGTGGAACCGTCATGTGCGACGAAGTGATCTGCGAGGACACATCCGAGTGTGCCGACCCCATCATCCAAGACGGAGAGTGCTGCCCTATGTGCCCCGACATTAATGGTACTTCACCTTCTTCTTCCTCCTCCTCCTCCCCACCAAATCTGTGGTCGATTAGCTTTTTGGCGCCACCTAGTGCCACCCACAGCAGCTCTGGCCGGAAAATGGACTTGAGGCCCTAAGCCTTCCTGCTTCCCAGAGGATTTGAACTCAGAAAGAATCGCTTTGGATTTACGCTTTGTCCAATTCATTTCAATATGCAATCTTTTAAGAATGGATTATTCCTGCTTTTTTGCTGAAGTCTGGCATGCAAATGTAATTTTCCCAGCATGCCATCTTGTGCAGGGAACCCTTCAGTGAGAAACAGGGCCTACACACATCTGCCAAAAAAACATGACATCATTTCACCACACATGAAACCAGCCCGGCCTGCTTATTCTCTCATTCTCTTAAACATGTTATTATTGTTTTGAAGTCATGAATAGCTCTCTCATAAATGTACTAGAGGTGCTGACATTTTCTTTCTCTCCATTGGTTCAGATCCCACTGAGAACCCTTCAGGTCCTTCAGTTCAGGTATTTTACCCTTAAACTTTGTTTGATACTGTTGAAATGTGAGACTAAAAACGTCATATTCTGTGCTTGGAGATTCTGGCATTGTCCATCACGGCTGCTTGTGTTTCAGATGATGCACTACATTGTAAAATGTGGATGAATTACTGCAACATAAGTCTAACTCCCTTTTCCATCTGTCTGTAGCCGCCAACAAACGGAGAAACTGGCCCCCCGGGAGAGCCGGTAGGTGTACCATCTTAAACTCTCATCGTAACTCGTACTGATCAGGACAACTGTTTCTGTGTTGTCATTTAAATATCAACTGTGATCTTTTATTAAAATAGAATCATTGTATTATTTACTACAAAGGCGAACTCACTGTTTCTATGTTTTTAATATATTTATGTCTGTCAGATGGTCGCCATCTCTGCTGTATTGCATGCGATACATTTTATTAACAGTAGATATTTTGATAATTTAATCGCCTTTTTTTTTTATACCAATATCTGAACAGAAAATGTAAAAGTTCTCATAGTGTTTGCCTGCTGGTGAATTACTAAGAAAAGTATCCAAGTGGTTTGATAAACTGCTATGATGTAATATTAGCATATGACCTTTGAAATCAAGGTCACAAGGTCAAAAGGTCATCCAAAAATAACACATAATACAAATTGGTTAATAAAATAAGGAAGTGATATTAAAAATGTAAACAACAGAACAGCAAAAACAAATGATCCATATTTAATAAAAAAAAACATTACTATAGTACTTTTCTTTTTTAAAGTTAGAGAAAGTGCAAAAAATAGATTTAATAAACACTAAAAGTGAGAATGAAATGGTTGAATAGATTAAGAGGAGAATGTTGTTTATGTTTGCTGTTTACATTTCTTATGGATATTTCATTTCACTTTCATATTTTATTTTTGCGTCACTTTAAGACGAAAACGTAATCCAGAAATGTTAAATTGTGACTTAAAAAAAAACACATTCTTGAACTGGCAATTGTCTTCCTCGTTTTTTCTTCAGGGTCTTCCTGGATCTCCTGGCAACGATGGATATGATGGACAGCCTGGCCTTCCCGGACCTCCCGGCCCCCCTGGCCCCCCTGGCCTTGGCGGAGTGAGTATCTTCCAATCACAACACCCAGGAAGTCTGTGCGTTTTTTGTGGAATAGTGATGCTTCTTAATACCTTTGAAAGTCTCTCGGTGGCTTATTTCTAATATGGTCAACTTTTTCAATCAATCATTTAAAAAAAGGTTTGATATGAAAGACAGAAGAAGACACTTTGTGGTCGAGAGGGGACACTAGAATATCATCTCTGTATTTATTGAGTCTTTAAGGCTGCAGAAATCACTCCCTGGTCTTCAGGATTATTCAGTCATTGACATTTAGTTCTACATAAAAGTTACTTGAAAAGAAATCTCTGTGATTCTACTGCAGGATTGAACATTTCTTTCCTCTTAGCAAGTCTTACTTCCTCGCTGAAATAGACATTTAAATCCTTATCGGGTGATTCAGGGCGGACATACATTGACAGCATCACTACAGCAGTGTGGAGTAACTGTGAGGGGGGCGGAGGAGGGTGGTAGTGGGGGGGGGACACCTTCCAGCTGTCTAATGTGATGTTCTCATGGGAAAAATATTTGAAGACTGATAGTAATAAATGTTTTTTTGCAACGCTTTCAGAACTTCTCTCCTCAAATGAGCTACACTGACCACTCCAAATCCAGCGGCCCACCTCAGCCTGGCCCAATGGTACGAAGGCGTCGCTCTCTCTGAACACCTCACCTGTATTGTGTGACGATGCAGATCAGTCAAGAAAATCTAAAGCTTTTTTTCCCCTCCCCCCCTTTCATTAACAGGGTCCCATGGGTCCTCGTGGTCCTCCTGGACCCCCTGGCTCCTCTGTAAGTATCCCATTATCGACTGCAGGACAGTTCAGATTCTCAATGAACCAATACACTCAAAATTATTTGGCATTCTTTTTTTTTTTTTTTTCTTGCATCAGATTCATGAAAGCACAAAAGATAATCGATAATCATTGAAGTGATGTCGTGTTAATTGCTCGTTCTTGTTGTCAAACAGGGTCCTCAGGGTTTCACTGGCCCTCCTGGAGAGCCTGGTGAGCCTGGAGCTTCTGTGAGTACACAAAATGTTCTGCTCAATAAATCCAGTTGAGAGGAAGTGTCAGCTTTATCCATGTTAGCCAGTTAGCCCACGCATCCGCATGGTTCTATTTTTATCTCAAAGTTGTGATTTATTCCAATTGTGTCATTGATAATCTCTGTACTCCATTTGTTGCCATTTAGCTTCAAGCTAATTTTGCATCTCCACCATTAAAAACAAGTTATCAAACAGCACTTAATAAACTAGAAGACAGCACACACATACCTCAGAGTAACACAGAGCAGATCATCACAGTCACATAAACAATGACACCAGCTACAACAACGTGTTAGTCAAGTGATAAAACGAGGATCACTGACCTGCTGACACACATCTGCACTCACTCTGTGTTGTCAGAGACAGAAAGCACGACAGCAGCGTGCTGAATCTCTTCTTATGCTTCTCTTGTAAAGTCGTCATTCATTAGGTGATAATCTCGTCTTTTATTGTTGGTTTTTTAGGGCGCCATGGGCTCTCGTGGTCCTGCTGGCCCCCCTGGAAAGAACGGAGATGATGTAAGTGATTCATTAATAACTGTCTATCCCTTTTTTCTATCGCACAATTCTGTCGATGCTGTGCCGTTATTTTCATGTGACGCAGCTCCTATCAACCAGTGACCAATCATTCTCTCTTTTCTTTCAGGGTGAGCCCGGCAAATCTGGTCGCCCCGGTGAGCGTGGCGCTGCTGGACCTCAGGTGAGTGCTGCCCTGTGAGAACAAAGATCAGGACAGGCTTTATGATTTATTCTTTCTTAGTAGTTGCAAATCATCCGTCATACTGAAATTTTGTTTTTTGGGGAGTTAATGCATGCGTCTTATTTCTGACACTCATCTCTTGTTTGTTTTTTTTCCTGCAGGGTGCTCGTGGATTCCCCGGAACCCCCGGACTCCCCGGCATCAAGGGACACAGAGTGAGTCCGGAAACATTTCACCTCAAATCACAGCTTTTTCAAACACGTTTGAGTTTGTGATGCGCGGTGGCTGACCTAAGTGATTTTTTTTTTTTTTGTGAACAGGGTTTCAGCGGTCTGGATGGAGCTAAGGGAGATGCTGGACCTGCTGGCCCCAAGGTAAGCTAACAGGAAGTACTTGTTGCTCACCAAAACCTGCAATCTCATCATCGACTGAACCAAAAAAAAAAATAATAATCTCTGTGTTTGTCTACAGGGAGAGGGTGGTGCACCTGGTGAGAACGGCATGCCCGGCTCCATGGTGAGTTTCTGCCTCATCACAATTAATTCAATGACACACACATGAATGTTTGTGTTCAAAAAACATCGAGAGATCCTCTGCTAAATTGAATGTGTCCCTCACTAGGGTGCTCGTGGTCTTCCCGGTGAGAGAGGACGCCCTGGACCTCCTGGCCCATCAGTAAGTTTTCCCTCTCCTCTCATGTCTACAAGTTTCACTTTTAAATCCCTCTAGATGCTTAAAAAAAGTTTTGAGTCCAGTTCTGCAAATCGCCTCTTTTGCTCTAATCTGCCCCTCCTCTTCTCCAGGGCGCTCGTGGTAACGATGGAAACACCGGCCCTGCTGGACCCCCTGTAAGTATGAAGCCCAAACTCTTTCTACCTGCAGAACTTGTTAACTCGATAGCTTATTTCTAATATTCTGGGTTTCTCATTTATGAATCTTATTGTCTCCAATTTCAGGGACCTACTGGACCTGCTGGTTCCCCCGGATTCCCCGGCGGTGCTGGAGCTAAGGTAAATGTCCATATCATACAAATGCATTGTTTTTGTTTCTTTTGCTCCAGCGAGCTTGCTAGGTTTGAGGCCCTGAGAAAAGGACATTGCAAAGGTTGTGATCTGAAAGGAGGAGCCCCGTTTGAAGCTGCAGCTACGCCTTGTTCCTTTAGTTCAATCAAATCACTTCATGTGTCAAAAGACAAACATCGAGCAGACGAGTCCAGTAACATAAACCAAGTCTCAAAATAGACTTACAAAAATACTGATTAAAACATTGGAGAAACAAGACGTTATTAGAAGCTCCTCACCTCCCTTACCTCCCTCTGAACATCTAAGTTTTAACATTCTGAGTCTGTAAAGATGACCCCTGTCCCGGTCTACAGTGACCCTGATGACACTTCTGAACGCTAATCCCACGTGTTAACTCTTCTTTTCTCCGCTCTGAAAAGTCACGCCTCACCCTAAACTGTGTCAAAACTTAAGCACTAAATACTAGGCCCGATACTTTACATACCAGGTGAGCGCCTTAGCCACCAGATGGCATCAGTTAGACCCCTAATGGCACCTTACCCCCCCTCTCCATCAGTGCAGGGATGTCTCCTAACTCTCACCTGTTATGAAGCCACACACACACATCTCTTATGACATGCTACAAAAACACTGTAAAAACATGATGTGTTATGTTCAGTGTGCAGGTTTTATTAACTTCTCTAAGTGATGTAATACAAAGATGGATTACTGCAGATTTTTAAACCCTCGTTGCTCCTCTTCACAGGGAGAGACCGGTCCTCAGGGAGGTCGTGGAAATGAGGGACCCCAGGGATCCCGTGGTGAGCCCGGTAACCCCGGACCTGCTGGATCCGCTGGAGCTGCTGTAAGTAACCAAACGTATCCGTATAGGCAACCTTCTTTCCTACATCCTCTCGAAATTATAGAAATACAACCAAATATTTTAAAAATGGTATTCCTTCCCTCTCTCACCAGGGTGCCCCCGGATCCGATGGACAAGCCGGTGCTAAGGGTTCTCCTGTAAGTATCAAACTGAACGATCGCTTTTTAATCCTCTCAGGTTTTTGGTTCCAGGTTGAAGTCCTCTAATCACAGTCTCTCCTCTCCTTAGGGTGCTAGTGGTATTGCTGGTGCTTCTGGTTTCCCTGGAGCTCGTGGACCTGCTGGTGCTCAGGGAGCTGTTGGTGCTCCTGGTCCCAAGGGTAACAACGTGAGTAAACGATTGATTTTTGTGAATTTTGACATTAGAAGTCACAGAATGTCGTTCAGTGTCAAAGGGACCCAAGATCCCCTGAGAGCCGATGATAAAAAACCTGTGTTTCTTCCAACAGGGTGACCATGGTCCTTCTGGTCCTAAGGGAGAGCCTGGTGCAAAGGGAGAGCCTGTAAGTTTCAAAATACACTCTCTCCTTTTTTTCTTTATTTTGTTTGATTTTAGGAAACAAGTGTTTCTAACCTCCTTACTTCCTTTTCCAGGGACCAGCTGGACCTCAGGGACTTGCTGGCCCCTCTGGTGAGGAGGGAAAGAGAGGAGGCCGTGGAGAGCCTGGTGGTGCTGGACCTCGTGGACCCTCTGGAGAGCGTGTATGTGACTTGATCTTTTTATATTGTGACTTCCTTTAGTATAAGAAGATAAACCAATCTCCATGTTGAAACCCATTCAGCTTTGCTTCTGCAGCACGTCTGCACATTTACAGTCTCTTGAATTCCCATGGGGATGACATTTTTTTTGCAAGGCACTTGTTCACTTTGTCGGCTTGTGTGTGTTTCCATCAGGGTGGCCCTGGTGCTCGTGGTTTCCCTGGTGCTGATGGAGGTGCTGGTGGAAAGGTGAGTCTGTGAATTTATCCAAACAGGCCTCAAACAGGTCTACAAAAGTGAATTTGAATTCTCACTGAGACATACATGAGGTCAAACTCTTCACCATTGAACATGAATGATTCCTCTGCTTTCTGTCTCCTAACTCTTCTTCTCTTGTTTAACAGGGAGCCCCCGGTGAGCGTGGTGCCCCCGGCGCATTGGGAGCTCAGGGAGCCACTGGTGAGTCTGGAAGCCCCGGTGCTCCTGGCGCTCCTGGATCCAAGGTGAGTTCTGCGACATATTTTTCATCAGGTGGATTGTAGACTGTGAGACATGTGTTTGTCTGAATCTCTGTCGTATGAATCCTTCTCCCCTCATAGGGTATGACTGGTAGCCCCGGAAGCCCTGGACCCGACGGCAAAGCTGGCCCATCTGTAAGTTCTGACTCACTTTCTGATGATAGCCATGACTACAATGAAGAACAATGCATTCAAACTTACCAGAGCAGTAAGTAAGTCTCCCTCGTGACCCTCATGGTTCTCATAATGTCCTTCAGGGTGTACAAGGACAAGACGGACGCCCTGGACCTCCTGGCCCCTCTGGAGGAAGAGGACAGCCTGGAGTTATGGGATTCCCCGGACCCAAGGGAGCCGCTGTGAGTAAACCCATTTGTACTGAAAACACACAAAAAACAGCTTTTTGTTAAGGATAATGGCAGTTTATCTACCTATTCAGGTTTAAATGTGTGATCCATTTTTCAAACCACATGTTGTTAAGTGATACACAATCTCCTTTATTGTGATGATAGAGAGTATTAATGGTACTGAAGCTTTAAAAAAAAACAGAAAAACTACAAATCCTTCAGTGATATTTTTAACCCAAAGCTGCAAGGACCACAAATGCGTTGGCGACATTTGAGTACCCAAATGTTGACGATGTATTTGTGCAGTTTAGACAGTGTGCAGTAGAATGGTTGCATTTTTTTTGTGGTAATTAAAAACAAGAAGTTGCCCCATATTGCTTGCCAAGGACCTCCATTTTTGTTGCCATGATATCGGAACAAGTATCCATATCTTTGCTTTTTTCAATTTTTACTAAATTCAAATCTGATTTGAATTTCTGGTATTGTGACATCTCTAGTTTCCATATGTTGATGTCATGCATACTAGTACTAGATAATGACTCAAATATGAGATCAGCACGACACCAGTTCAGATCAGTGACTCTAAGAGAAGTTACTTATGCAGATTCTCCAACACTGCACATGTAAATGTGGACGTTGTTCTTTTTTTATAAACAGGGTGAGTCTGGAAAGCCTGGCGAGAGAGGACCCGGTGGTTCCATTGGTGCAGTTGTAAGTACTTCCAGGTTTTCAAACTAATACAAATCATGTGTTTGTGTAATATGTGTTTTTTTTGTTTGTTTGTTTTAAATTTAAGAGCAGAAAAACACTTTGTAATGTGTTTGTTTAATGTTTTCATTCACAGGGTGCTCCTGGCAAAGACGGTGATGTTGGTGCTCCTGGACCTTCTGGCCCCGCTGTATGTATCCCATCCACCCTTCTTACTGCTGCCATTAAAAAAAAAACCCACATTGATACATTTTCTTATTGTTATTATTTTATTTCCTTTTGTTTAGGGACCTGCTGGAGAGAAGGGAGAGCAGGGACCTTCCGGTCCTCCTGGATTCCAGGTAGCTGTTTGACATCACCTCAGCAGTGAAGGAGAGCCTTCTGGCAATATTTCTGTACAGCGTCACAAGTCTACTTTTTAACACATGTATTTTCTCTCTGTCTTCCTTGTGCAGGGTCTTCCCGGACCCCAAGGTGCTACTGGTGAGACTGGCAAGCCTGGTGAGCAGGTAAGAGAATAGTGGAGCTTCATCTGGTAGCTTGTTTCCAGTGGTTCTGTACACCTGGCTTTTTTTTTTTGGTTTAATGTTCATGTTAGCACAGTAAATACGTCTCCATGACAACCATCTGCCTTCTTCCTTGTTTGTCAGGGTGCTCCTGGTGAGGGTGGACCCCATGGCCCATCTGGACCCAGAGTAAGTATCTGCTGAGCACTTTCTTCATCACTGATTCGAGGTCTTTTGGCTTTCAACTCTTACTGACTGACGTGTCCCGTGCTCTCTCCTGTAGGGCGACAGAGGTTTCCCTGGTGAGCGCGGTGCTCCTGGTGTTGCTGGCCCAATGGGACCCCGCGGTGCTCCTGGCGCCTCTGGAAACGATGGAGCCAAGGTGGGTTTAAAACTCTCAAAATGGGAGAAGCTCTAATAGACAATGACCTCCCGGTTAAGATGCTGAAGATGAAAGATGCTGAATATGAAAGAGCCCCAGAAGTCACACACACACCACATTCAAAAAAGCCCGTTTTAACACATTTACACCCGGGTACAAAAAAATGAAATAGGTTTGATTAGTTATTGTTATCATGGGCACACACTGATTTTATGTACCATATGAGTTATCCACAGTTAGTTTGTCAAGATGCTTAAAACGCACCTCAGCTCCAGCTCTCAGCCTGTCGTTAGGTTGACTGAAAGTTAGGCTGACACAGGATTTCCAGCATGGCGGCCCCCTGCAGGAACAGATGGGTGACGTCACTCAGACTCTGTACATTAATATTTAAAGTCTATGGTTCGACACATACATATAAACAGAAAAGAAGCACTTAGAGCTTCACATTTCATTAAAAGTCTGAGAAGAAAGATACAACTCGCTGTGTGCCGAGGAAGCAGCCCCCCCCAGCTTTTATTACTGATTGAGATCGTTTATAGCTACCAGGACGATTTTTAGCACAAGGTATTGTAACCTTTGCCCTGAAGGATGCTGCTACAGAACAGAAACTTTAGAGTAAATGTAACCCATTGAATACTGATGATAAAATGTAGGATCCCTTTTTTGTTGAGGTTATCAACAATCCCAGGTTAAGTCTGTTAACATTTGACGCTCAGTGCAACCTTCATTCAACAACACACACAGTATAGAGTGTGTACACTGCATCACCGGTGTTGTTTTTCTTACAGCTGATTGAATGTTTAAGGAAATAATGTTTTAATTTCTTTTGTCTTTTGTGTATGTGTGCAGGGAGAGACTGGTGCTGCCGGTGGCCCCGGAGGTAATGGAGCCCCTGGTATGCAGGGAATGCCCGGTGAGCGCGGAGCCGCTGGTCTGCCCGGTGTCAAGGGAGAGAGAGTAAGTACTGATCACATCATCCAGTTTGACTCTTTAAGATGTATTCATTTAGCAGTTTAATAAAGGATAAATGTCTGTGTAGGTTCTCAGACATCCAGGTCATGGTAAATTTAAAGCTTGATCCAAAGGCAACTGGACTTGGTTGAAGATCTTGAAGACCGCTCGTCCGAAAGGCGTCTTCAGTTCCAACTAACTGGTGGACAGAGCTAGTAATGTTAGCCATTAGCATGCTTATGGTCAATTATTCTTCAACCATGTCCAGTTGCAGCTGTTTCTAAAACTACTCTTCAGAATGACGGCGACATAGCGATTGAAGCTAGCCTGAATCAAGTGGTTTACTGGCCCTGACAGTTTGCTAGAAGTCTCTTTGTAGCTTTGTAAAATGTAAAGCAGCACTGTTAAAGCTAAATAAGATGCATGCACTTAAAAGATCATCACTTATATTCACTTTCTCTCTCCCCAGGGTGATGGTGGTGCCAAGGGAGGTGACGGTGCCAGTGGCAAAGATGGCGGTCGTGGTATGACTGGTGCCATTGGACTCCCAGGACCCCCTGGTGCTCAGGGTGAGAAGGTAAGACAAAAGTTTATTTTCAATACAGCGATCCAGTGTCACGATTCTTGCTGGATTGTTTCTTTTCACATCACTTCCTCTTTTACATATAATGGGTTCACAGTTGTTGTTGTTTTTTTTTTTTTAAATGTGTGAACTTGGTTATTAAAGCCGTTTTATTTAAATCTCAGCGGGTATTCAAATATGAAATTGAGGCAATGTAAAAGTAAGTTTGTATCAGATAAGATTTCCAGTTACGCTCTATTTAACCCTTTTCTATTTATTAAGACTTTTAGGTCAAAGTTGTGCTGACCTCCTCTTCTCCACCTTTTTTTTTGGTTTTAGGGTGAGGGTGGCGCTGTTGGCGGTTCCGGACCCACCGGTCCTCGTGGTTCCCCTGTAAGTTCTTCTCCAAGACACACCTGATTCAGGACAAGCACAAGATCTACCCTTTTTTTTTTTTAAGACACCATCTAGACACCGTGAACCTGACCCTGAAACCTTTCTCTCCTTATGACTCTCACAGGGCGAGCGTGGAGAGGCTGGACCCGCCGGACCTGCTGGATTCGCTGGACCTCCTGTAAGAATCCCCAACGTTAACATTTCATCCTGAAAAAATGACATTTTCTGCAGATTTAAGATTTTTTTACAGCTCCATTTAAGAATGCTGCATGTGTTGATGTCTCTCTTCTTTTTTTGTCCCACCTCAGGGTGCTGATGGTCAGCCTGGTGCCAAGGGAGAGAGTGGTGATTCTGGACCCAAGGGAGAACCTGGTGCTCCTGGACCCGCTGGAGTTGTTGGATCTGCTGGACCTCAGGTAGGCAACATGTTGATTGTGTTTTCTGAAGGGCATCTATTCCCCTTTGTTTTAAGTTTATCATTGTTGCATGCATTTTTTTTTTAAACTCAGATCAATTTTTTTCTTTTCTTCAACAGGGACCTGCTGGACCTCCTGGACCCAAAGGTGCTCGTGGTGGTGCTGGACCTCCTGTAAGAATCCCGTCAACGTGTGAGATTTTTTGTGTTCGATGATGTTATAAGTGACGCTTTTTTTCCTCATGTCTTCTCTCTCTTCTCGTTTTTTAGGGTGCTACTGGTTTCCCCGGACCTGCTGGAAGAGTTGGACCCCCTGGCCCCTCTGTAAGTTTCTCCTGGTCCCACACAGTCTTGTCTTGTCTTGTCATCACGGGCTTCAGCAGAGTTTAAATCAACGACTTAAATCCTCTGCAGGGAGGTGGTGGACCCCCTGGACCCGCCGGACCTGTTGGCAAAGACGGAGCCAGAGGAGGACGTGGTGAGACCGGACCCGCTGGTCGCCCTGGTGAGGCCGGTGCTGCTGGACCCGCAGGACTCAGTGGAGAGAAGGGATCCCCTGGCGCTGATGGAGCCCCTGTGAGTTCCCTAGCCGTAGATGATCGCAGATATTCACAATGATTTCTTTTTCTTTTCTGTGTCTTCTAACTGGCTGTTGTTTTCTGCCTCAGGGTTCCTCTGGTATCCCCGGACCCCAAGGTATTGCTGGACAGCGTGGTATTGTAGGTCTCCCCGGACAGCGTGGAGAGCGTGGTTTCTCTGGTCTGCCTGGACCTTCTGTGAGTAGTCATTCTGTTATAACAAGAAGTAGCAACAGCGATTCATGACTGTAAATCTCGTTTGCGCCCCGCTGGCCACATGATAGCAAAAAACCCTTTAAGATGAATCAATCTTGTCTTTCTTCAGGGTGAGCCTGGAAAGCAGGGACCTTCTGGAATCGTTGGTGAGCGTGGACCCCCCGGACCTGCTGGACCCCCTGGACTCTCTGGTGCTTCCGGAGAGGCCGGTCGTGAGGTAATACCTGCAGAGCACTCACACTGAATCAGAGCGTGTGGCGTTTCTGGACAGCTACAGATTCACAAATATTCATTACTTAGCCATCCTGAACCAGAAGCTAACCATTGAACCATTTTAATGATTGACCATACTCGCTGCTCTCCCACAGGGATCTACCGGTCACGATGGTGCCCCTGGTCGCGATGGAGTTTCTGGACCCAAGGTAAAAAAAAAAATCCTTTCCATCGTCTTGAAGCCCCAAATGATTCAACTTCAAAAACACATTTTTGTTCACTCTATCTTTTATCTTTATCTGCCTAGCGTTTTCTAACTGGAAAATTTGCATCCATAGGGAGACCGTGGTGAGTCTGGCATGGCCGGACCCCCAGGACCCCCTGGTGCTCCTGGAGCCCCTGGAACTGTTGGCCCATCTGGCAAAACTGGTGACCGTGGAGAGTCTGTAAGCCCCCCTTTGTGGTTACCTTCATTCTGAACGAAAAATGATTTTATTTTCAACCTGATCTAATCTTCACATCATTCCTCCAGGGTGCCGCTGGTAATGCCGGCCCTAGTGGTCCCGCTGGTGTCCGTGGCCCTGCTGTAAGTCCATCCTGACGCATCAAATGTGGAAATACAACATTTTAAGATAGGGCTAACAGTCTTGTGTTGATTGATCATTGTTATTTCACTATCCCAATATTCATCCAATTTAATGCACATAGCCATTTATTTCTCCCACCAGGCAGGGCTAATGCATACCTTCTGCTTTCTCCATTCAGGGACCTGCCGGAGGTAAGGGAGACAGAGGAGAGGCCGGTGAGGCTGGAGAGAGAGGCCACAAGGGACACAGAGGATTCACTGGCATGCAGGGTCTGCCCGGTACCTCCGTAAGTAACTATTCCAACGCGATGGAGAACAAAGCTTCAAACAATACCAACTTTATTTTCCTCTTCATGGGATTGTTTCAGCATTTTTTTTTTTCCTGATTGCATTGTGCACAATGTTTGATATTCACATTGCTCTGTGTGTAGGGAGGACATGGAGAGAGAGGACCCGCTGGTGCTTCTGGACCTGCTGGACCAAGAGTAAGACCACCTTGTTTAAGAGCACTTATACACACTGTAAAATAACTCACAGCAAGTTTTAGGGATTGGCGAGTCCATCTTCAGTGACACAGGTGAAAAACAGTGTAGAGTGTTATGAAACTGTTCCAGGGAGAGAGGAAAAATGACATAGCAAAAATATTGTAGATCCTGTTTCCAGTCCCCAGATGAACCCCTCCCCATATTTACTTCAGAAAGATTCAGCCTCTCTGCGATGCTCTTTTTATACCCAATCATGTAAATAACCTGTTGCCAGTTCATTTCAGAACTTTTCCATTTTTTTTTTACCATCATCCCAACACTCTTGAAATTTGTTGCTGGCATCAACTTCAAAATTTAAATTTCCCCCAAATTTGACACAGCGTCCCAACTTTTTTGGATACAGGGTTGTATATGACTAGCAGGACGACACATGTTCTAATTCATTGTTGCATAGGGACCTTCTGGATCTAACGGCTCCCCCGGTAAGGATGGCATGAACGGTCTGCCTGGACCCATCGGACCCCCTGGACCTCGCGGTCGCAACGGAGAGATGGGCCCCTCTGTAAGTCGTGATCATCCTTTAACCAAATACTACAATATTTATTTAGACACTTAGAATGTTTCTGTGGGTATTGAACCTGTTGTGCCTCCACACAGGGTCCCCCCGGACCTCCTGGACCCGCTGGACCCCCTGGACCTCCCGGAGGTGGATTCGACTTTGTCAGCCAGCCTCTCCAAGAGAAGGCCCCCGATCCCTTCCGTGGCGGCCACTACCGCGCCGACGACCCCAACATGATGCGCGATCGCGACCAGGAGGTTGACACCACCCTCAAGACCCTGACCCAGAGGGTGGAGAAGATCCAGAGCCCAGACGGTACCCAGAAGAGCCCCGCCCGCATGTGCCGCGACCTGAGGATGTGCCACCCCGAGTGGAAGAGCGGTGAGTGCAGATCAGAGCTTCAGAGCAGCTTTGAGGTGAATCAGGAAGATGAACTCAGACTCAACCTGTTTCTTATGCTCCTCTCCTTCAGGCGTGTACTGGGTGGATCCCAACCAGGGTTCCGCTTTGGATGCCATCAAGGTCCACTGCAACATGGAGACTGGCGAGACCTGCATCTACCCCAGCACCTCCACCGTCCCCATGAAGAACTGGTACACCAGCAAGAACATCAGAGAGAAGAAGCACGTCTGGTTCAGCGAGTCCATGACCGGTGGATTCCAGGTAAGAAGTCAAAACTAAAATCATCCTGATAAAATGTGATGTTAGACGCTGCTGTCTGTTTAGGGCTGCTGACGGCCTCGTGGCCTGTCTTATTTTAGCATGCGGTGACCATTTATACAGTAGCTAATGTCTCACTGACACCAATGATAAAAAAAGAAGGAAACTGAAATGTGAGCCTGGGTTTTGTTGCACTGAATCAAAAACTAAGAAAGCATTTTCACCTTAATATTTCTCGGCTTTATGAAGTGTTTTTTTATCTTGTGTTTGTTTGAAGACACCTGTAAATATTTTCTAGAATTCTAGTTGCAGATTATATCAGTGTTCTTTAGGACACCAACACGTTTTGAAATCACCTCTCAGACCGTTTTACTTTTAATTAAAAGTGTGATATGTTGATTATTTGGGTGAGATTGAATATTTATCTACAGATACATTTTCCACATCTTGATGTACATTATTAAAACTTGCATTGTCTCTTTAAAAGACTCCTTATAAAATGAGCAGCATACAGTCCCTTCATCTTTCTCCTCCCTCCTCCGCCCCTGCAGTTCCAGTATGGCAGCGATGGATCTGATCCCGAGGATGTCAGCATCCAGATGACCTTCATGCGCCTGATGTCCAACCAGGCCTCTCAGAACGTCACATACCACTGCAAGAACAGCATCGCCTACATGGACTCCGCCTCCGGAAACCTGAAGAAGGCTCTGCTCCTCCAGGGCTCCAACGATGTCGAGATCAGAGCCGAGGGCAACAGCCGCTTCACATACAGCGTCAGCGAAGATGGCTGCACGGTGAGTCCACATGAGATACACACAGCCGGCCTCGAGAGGAGCGAATAGATTTTTTTATTAGTCCTCACAACACTTTAGCGAGCAACTTCTGACTTCTTTCTCTCTTTCTGTCCTCCACAGTCACACACTGGCACATGGGGCAAGACAGTCATCGACTACAAGACAACAAAAACATCCCGCCTGCCCATCATTGACATTGCTCCTATGGATGTTGGTGCAAGTGATCAGGAGTTCGGCGTCCAAGTTGGCCCTGTTTGCTTCTTGTAAAAATGAAAGAAATATGGACATGACATTGTTGTTTTGTTTCTAGCAGTCATCTCTAAAATCCTTTTTCCTATGCATTCAAAACTCATTCGGCTGCCATTGGTCCACATGCTTAAAAACCACTCGACTGAAGACGGTGTTTATGTTTTTTTTCCCAATCATGAGAAGTTTTTTTTTTCTTTTTGGACTGCTACTTCAACCAACCACAAGGACACTTTAAAAAAAAGAATCTTTTGTTCCCACTGGCAACAAGAAAATAATATATATACTTGTGTAAAATTTCCCCCTGGAGATTGAGAGAGAGAAAAAAAAAAAGAAACATCAACTCATGCAATGAAACACAGGTGACTTTTGCCATTTTCTTACCACTGCAGAAAGGACATTGAAAACAACAAGTGAAATGTACCATTTTTCTGGTGTTGAATAAATTGTAAAAAGTGTGAAGTGTCTTCTTGTGCTAAATTTGTGGAAAGAACAAAAAAAAAGCACCCGAATGTTGCACAGGAAAAGGCAAACGAGGCAAAGAAGCTCACCTTCATTGCAAAAAAAAATGTAGATGGCTACCTCGTACCAAGAAGTCACCCTGAGTTTTTTTTTTCTTGACTGAAAAGGGTTTATTTTACACGAGTCTATTGTGGGGGAAATCAAATCAACACATCAAAGGTGCTATTACCATTTCAACGAGGTCCAGCGATTAGTGTTTGGCGGTGAAAAAGTCTCGCTGTCATACTGTAATTATTGCCACTAATGCCTGCAGAACCTTTGGTGCTACTAAATTGACTCATGTTGTCTATGCAGTGCAGTTGTTTTCTTCTTAAGTGTTGGTTTGACAGAAGAGGTCCTCAGAAAAAAAAGGGTGCTCACTGCATATGTAATGCATGCAATCATGTCTCTGTAGATAAAAGCAAGTGACTCTGATTCAACATCATTTCCCTGCTCATGTGTTCAGTGTTCATCCTTCTGTCTGTTTATTTTTTTTTGCCCCCTGTGGAAAACTCCTCTTCACTAAAAAAAAAAAAAAAAAAGCAAAACAGCACACATCCCCCTGCCTGTTGTTCATGTTGTTTGTTGATGTCTTACGCGAAAAGGTTTCTTAAAAAAGAAAATTGAAGCAGACCCACTTTCATGGTTTAAAAGAGAGATTCTGTACTTATTTTGTACATGTATAATAAATTGAGATGTTTTTAATTATTTTTGGGTGCTGAAATAAAGCATGTGAAGTGGTCTACTCAGTGGCGGATGTTTTCACTGTCCTATTTTGCAACTGTTGTGAAACTGAAATCAGGTGTTAGCACTTTAGGGTTAATACATAAACTGCAGCTGCATGTTGACAGAGAACCCAGACAGACCCTGCATGATCCAACACGGGTATTAAAACTGAGTTTAAATAGGTGCAGGAATCAACTGTTCCACAACAGTTGCACTGAGAACATTTCTATTGAGGAGCAGTGAAAACAAGGCCAATAACTAATACTCCAACCTGGCTTCACTATATTATATACACAGATTGATTATGTCTGTCTCTAAATTCCTGCAGAAATCTGAGCTAAAGCGGCACAAAATGCAGCGAAAGACAAAAATTAAATATCAATCAGACATGGAAACTTTCAATTCATACGCCACTTTTCCATCTGCACAATCACTCAAAAATAGGGAGATTTATTTATGAGAAATAAGATTTTGCTTCTACAAAGTGTCACCAGAAAAGGAGATGTGTGTCTGGTCTGAAATCAAGGCTCGTTTATCGGATGACGATGCACCAGTGACCCCTTGTGGTTGTCCTGTATAACTACAGCTGATTTAAACGTTCAAATCAAAGGATCTTTACACCACTGCTGCATGGTTTTCGTTTTTAGATTTCCCACTTTGACCTCCATCATACAGTCAAAGCAGTGGATGTAAAAGTTGTCAACATCTGAGTAATATTACGCCTTCATTCATTTAAATCAAGGGATTTAACGAAATGTGACCTCAATGGAGTGTTTTTCAAATCATTAGGGATTATGATCCAGTCTAGGTTAAGTATGTCTGTGTAAAATAGCTTAACCAGAGAGTTTATAGACAGATAGGATCCAGAAGTGCTACAAGGTAACATGCAAAACAAAACAGAAGTTTTCACATAACAGCCAAAATCTTGGTTACCGTGAAGTTATGCCGGCATGTGGCCCTGTCCATTCTCACTGAAGGGTTGGGAACTCCAAGTATGTTCATAATAAAATAAAAACTTAAGCAAAGAGAATCATTTTGAAACACGGCAAAAAAAAAATCTAATTTCCCGCGGTACTTTAATGCATCACAAATACTTGTCTTTTCAATGGATAATAGAAAGGAAATACAAAGTCAACAGAAAAGTTGTAAATCTTGAGTAACACTAAACACAAAAAGTACGGTAGAGTATACATGTGCTTTCAAGTGAAGTTAATTCATGTGACAGGTAAAGTATTTTCTTATGGAAAGCATGAATAGGAACATGATTTTTCAGACTATCATTGTAGGACAGACCTGAAGCATTGTAATACTGTGAAGAGACACTTTGGACATTTTTGTTAAGGGACACAAAAAATGAGAGAATATGGCCTTTGATATATTTTATTATTCATGAAAGGCGGTGAGAAATAACGGCAGACAACAATTTGACAAACTACACGCGATTAGTCGATCATAATTGCACTTTGTATAGCAAAAAAAAAAAAATATATATATAGAATTTCCCACTGCAAATATATAACCATAGACTGTGGCAGCGAACTACAGAAGCCCTAAAGGGACATAAATCCTTACATTTTATTGACTCTATTTTCCGTGATAACAAATGTAGTCTGCGGTTAGTTGTTTTCTCAAGATCTAAATGTATTTTTCTCATTATTTCTGGATAACAAAGCTTATTTAAGATAATGGGATCATTATCAGACGAACTAGACAACACAACAATAGGCTGGTCACTTTCTTTAAAGGTCACATATTATGCAAAATACACCAGCCGTATGTGTCTCTAGTTTGTCTATAAACCCACCAATTATGAGAAAAGTCCATCCTCTCTATCTTTTGCCTGCTCCACTTTTCAGAAAATGTGTGCAAAAACAGGCCGTTTGGAGATTTTCCCTTCATGACATCACAAAGGACAGTAACCCCTCCCCCAGGTGGGTGACACTCCCACAGCTAGGTGTTTGTCTGCCCTCTGAGTCTGCCTTCTCAAAGAAAATTGCGCATGGTGCAGTTATGTCCAAGCCACCCAACGCTTGTCAAACACAGCTCATTTACATATTTAAAGGTACAGACACAGAAACAGCCTGTTCTGAACAGGGCTGAAATAGAGGCGTTTATAGACATGATCAGAGTGGATTTAGAACAAGACACTTCACAGGCATGTTCTGGAGAGCTCTCAGACTTATTTAAACTGGTTGAAAAGGAGGAGAATATGTGACCTTTAAGTTACCCTTTTCCCACACTATTAATACGTTTTGCCTGTTTCTGTTTATTTTGGGCTTTTGCAACTCTAAAGACACATAAGATAAATACGTCTAGATCTGGAGAAAACAACCAGAAACGACTCTTCATCACAAAAAAACTGAGTAAATAAAATGAATGGATGCATGTCTGCTTCAGGCTTCAATAGCAAGCAACTTTGATGATAGACACTTTATCCTCTGTTCTTCTCATTTCCTGCAAAGAAAAACAAAAGCAGCATCAATAAAACAGCCAATCAAAAAAAGGGGGAGACTAAATGTAGAGCGGATTAAATGCAGTGTTGTAGGAGGAGTGGGTTTACCTGGGCAGGGTGTCACTGTAAGGATCGCTATGAAAAAAAAACAGAGAAGTGAAAAAACATTCTATTTTTAGAATTAATTTGTCTGAAGAGTGAGTCATCGATAACAGTGACATAACAGTGATAATGGAATCAGGATGACTAATGCTGCTAATGTAACAGCGACGGTAGATGTGTGAATAGATGGTTAAAAATAATGCAGGTGAGGCTCTTACTGCTGGGCCATGATGAGAGGGATGTTGTCAGACTGCAGAGGTGGTGCCTCCTCCCCGGTCCTGTAGTTAAACATGGGCAGCGTGGACAGGGGTGGAGGGAGACGGCGGTTTGCTGCCATGTTCCTCAGCTCGTCGGTGTTCTCCAGAATGGTGTTGTGGTGGTACAGCTGGATCCTGCAGCACAAACAGAACATTACAGAGGCTTTTTGTTTTACTCGGTTAGTTCACTTAAATACTAACATGCAGAGGTTGAAAGTAGCTTAATGCATTTTCCTGGGGGGCGCCGGTGGCCTAGTGGTTATTGCAGACGCCCCGTACGGACGCTATGATCCTCCTTCGATAGTGGCCTTTGGCTCCCCCGCCCCCCCTCTCCATCCTTCATTTCCAACTCTATCTACTGTCCTAGCTCTACAATAAGGGGCAAAAAAACCCTGCTGAGGTGGGGCTGAGCAGGAGTGCGGTACTGGTGCACGTCAAAGCTGGCAATGAAACAGGAGAGGAAATCTAGCAGATTAAATAGACAGCTAATTGGAAGGAGGTGTTGTCAGGCGGGTGTGAAATCAGTGCAGCTCGAGTTGACTGCTTGAAGTAGCTCGCAGGCGTCGCCTCATTCTAGTTTGAGGCTTTATCTTCAACATCACATTCTATCTACCTTTTGTTTGTACTTGAATGGCTTTACATTAATCTTTCTTTACTTACTTTATAATTCCTTAGTTGCCTGTCTTTTACTCACTTCTGTAATTTGACTATATCATCGTAATGGAGAGCTGCCCACTAGATGATGTCTCGAGTAAAGGTTGATTGACTTTGATGCATTTCATCCCGACTGTCTCTCACCCATAAACCTTGTCTCTTTTTAATTTTTTGCTATCTAATAAAAACAAAATAGATCTAAAAACAATCTTTAAAAAAACACAGTGTCACTGGTGAAGTTGGAGCTGTTTTGAATTACTTAAAAAAAAAGGTATTTACATGTGCTGAACATCAATCTGAGAGAATGGGGGATAATTATTGGCAGACTCTGGAACAAAGGAAATCTGTTTACCCCTATCTATAATTTTTGATTTTCAGTGAGACATCTGAGCGTTTAATTAAATGAAAAAGAAGAGAAGTTAAGAGGGAACAAATCAGACTAAGTGGAGGTTTAACAACTCATTAACATCCTAAATATGACCCGAATAAATATTAAAAGCTTGTATAGCACTTTTCTAGCGTTATGACTATTTAAAGCTTTTTTTACACCTACACATTCACACATTGAAGGTGATGCTATGGAAAGTGACAGTCAGAAGTAGCTAATCCCAATCATACACATTCACATGCCACTGACGAAGCAGCAGAGAAATATGGGGTTAAGTGTCCCTTTCTGTAAAGGCTGGAAACCACAGAGTCATTAATTCTTGATTAAAAACTTGATCTTTAAAGCAACGAGTAAACTCCAGCTGTGGAATAAATGTATCTGAGTAGTAAGCACGGCATTTCCGTTTATAACACACCGGAGCATTAAATAATAATAATATAGCACTTGTATATTTCCGATGAATGCAAAGAAATACTATAAAAATGCATTAAAATATGTAACAGCATCAATCACAGCAAACAGAAGAACGCCTCAGTGTACTTACTGGTTTGTTTTTGCATTCCTTTTCATACTGCAAAAGAAGGAAGAAAGAGTCATGTGTCACAGTTTATCTGCATCAATCAAAGGTTGAGTTTACCAGCAGAGCAGATTTGGCTTCCCACACGTCTGCATCACATTCCCACGAGCGTTAAAACAGGGAAATGTTTTGCAGTGTGACATTGACATTTGACATTGGTAGCCCAGATTATTATTCAGGAGATTCAAGACAGATGCGTACACTCCCTCTCGTCTGCCGAACATGATGTAGGCCAGCATGAGGAACAGGATGACGGCGAGGATCAGGGGCACGATCACTGTCACGATGTAGTCGGGGAAGTAGTCTCTGCTCAGGGGAGACTCGGGGGGGTCGAAGTCGCCCCCGTCCTCCAGGATCCCCGAGCCCAGAGTGGGAGCAGGGGGAGCCGGCTCCTGTTTAGTCAGATCAAACTGCAGGGGGATGAAAACACACATGAGAGGGATTCTTTTGTTAAACACACAGGAGGACAGGAGAGAGGAATGATGTTACTGAGCTGTCAGTGATCCTGCGGTGTCCCAGCTAGGGCTGCAGCGTACGATCATTTCTGTTCTTTCTAGGTTCAATGATAAAACTCCTGTCAAGAGCATCGGTTCTACAGCTGCAACAGTACGCCTTCTTTGTCCTTAAACAGAAGTAATGCAGCTCATTCAGAAGTTAAGCATCTGCTCTAAGGTTGTAGGTTAACCCATGCATAGACTCTTCGAATCGGCCTACATGTTAAGGCTGGCTAACATAGCATCGCCTCTGACCCCTGACCACGCTCTGAACACAGAATGTGAACTTTTACCATCAAAACCAGAGCTCATTTCGCTTGAAGCCTTTGGCTCGATCTTAAAAGATAAAAAAAACGTGAGACAATTGGACAGTGCCCGTGTTTCTGAATTGTAATCTGTGGTCAAGATTCTGCACTTTATCTGTAAATCAATTGGCACATTGTAAATCGTTGTTCTCTCTTAACTTATTGTTTGTAAACTGTCTCTTTATCATGTAATGCTTTTTATGACGTGTGCTGCTGCCCTCTTGGCCAGGTCACCCTTGTGAAAGAGATCCTGATCTCACTGGGTTATTCATCTGGTTAAATAAAGGTTAAATAGAAGATACAGGGTCCCACGTTTTAAGAAGGTTAGACTGAAACACTCTTTTGTTCACCATCACCAGTCAATTCTAAGATTGAATGCGGAGCTGAATCCCAGATCAGAGCAGGTTTATAGCCTCTGGGTTTTTGTGTTTGAGTGTGTGTGAGGATCATGATGCTGCAAGACTTCAAGGTCAATGAATAACAGAAAAAAAGAAGTAGAAAACAAAAACCTGAGCTAACATCTTGGACCTGCGTGTGTCTCTCTGGCTGAATACAACACATGGTATTGATAATGCAATTTCAATCCAATCCAATTCGATATTATTAAAAAGAGACAAGCTGTGTTGGCTTTCAAGTATTTAGAGAGAAATCCTTGGAAAAGGAAGAAAAGTTGATTATTTTCAATCTAATGTTCTTGTAACAGAATTATTTTTTAATCCCCTTTATCATGTTCTCACTGCTCAGATTGATTTTTTTGTTCCTGTTCCAAAGTTGGAAACAACCGATTGATTAAAAATGTACACAACTAATCCCCAATCTCTAACCTTCAATTAAAAACAATATTCTTGCATTTAAATCCTTCTTTTAAATCAAAACACATCACATTGCAGTATTGGTCTCACCAGCTCAATCTTGCACCAGCTGATACAGTTGCTGGGGATGCTGCAGAAGTTACATTCTCCGGGGACTTTGACTTTGGCTCCTGCTGTGCACTGCTTCTCGTACTCGGCTGTCAGCGTCCCCAGGAGACAGCGGGAGAAGTACTTCTGAGACCCCACCTTCACATACACCCTGACAAGAATCACATTTTATTAAAAAAAAAAAAAAGAAAAGACAGTTATTGAAGCTGAAACTTAAAGCCAGGCTGCACAGATCTCTCTCTCTCTCTTTGGTTACCCTTCAAAGTGTCCTGCCAGAGGTAGAGGGACTCTGCCGCCACGGTCCAGAGCGTTTGAAATGTTGACGATTTCCAAGTCCTCAGTCTTCCACAGCTTCTGCAGATCCTGCTGTATCTCCCCCTGAACAGTAGAGGGCAGCACCTTCTCAATCTCCCTCAGCTTGAGGAAGAACTCGGCCTGATAGGGAATCATCTTCTCTGTGACAGACAACAGGGAACTAACGAGTAAACTGTTTGTTCTGTCATTATAACCACTTCATTGATTAAATCAAACATACCTGCAACGGCTTTGATTACAAATATTTGTCTGGTTGTATCATAGCTCCGTTTGTTGATGGCATAGACCTGTCAAAAAAAAACAATGAGTTTGTCCCCACAGTTTCCATCATGTTCTATATATTTGAACATTTATACAAACACATTGCTTCACTTTTGTTCCTTAATCTTACTGCGTTTAAAGATATTTATTGCTTCTGTACTTCTATCAACCTGCCACGCCCACTTCTGCAGAAGAAATCATTTCCCATAAAGCCTAATAACCCTTTTAAATGTGCACAAATGTTAGGTGTGTTAGGAATATAATTATATTTGTGTAAAGTGTATCAAAAGTGCTGAAGCTGGGTTTTAACAAGTTCTTAATTTGCAAATAAAAGGTTGGTTTTTTTAATCTTTGAAGTATCAAAATGTGATATAAATCTTTTTTTTAGGGATTTGTTTTCTGCTGAAATTGTGTGAAGAAATTTAAAATCAAATCATGGCTCAAATCAACTCAATCATGTCCTCATCACACATAAACACGTTAAGTTTCATGAACTCTGTTTGATAATGTTGTAGTGTATTCATACAGTATGTTATCATGGCATTGTTAGGCACTCTTAGTGTATTATTGTTTTAATATAATGTATGAATTTCAATGTGGACTAGTGTAATGCCATTGTTGTGAAGATGTTGTTAGTGTAGGTTTTGTTTCTTCACAGAGACTGCCCAGGGACTACAGATGTAAACAGCTAACTGGCTGTACACTGTCCCTGTCAAAATAAATAAATAAATAAATAAAAATAGTGAAACTAAAATGCGTTCCCGGGCCAGAATTGTTGTATAATGACATTTAAATGAAAATAACAGTTTTTCTTGGTGCTTGTGTCATGTTTCTTTTACCTTTGACTTTAAAAGTTGTTAAAGGAGACATGAAGGTTAACAGCTGGGTTTTTTTCTTGACTTAAAGGGAAACCATGCACGTGTAAAATTTACTAAAATCATCCTAAAAACAAGAAAACGCCTTACGTTTTAGTCGAATAAGAAGGGTTTTGTATAAACTTTCATCTCTGGTTTTATATATGCATCCAGACTCCAACATGTTTTGCAGCTACACGCTGTTTGATTGAAACTTTAAAGCCACTTCAAAACTTGCCATCTCTTCTTCTTCAAAGACGTGCATCTCCCTGAATATTTAATGCTGGTTTCAAAACGGCAGCTCTAGAGAGAAACCCAAAGCTTTTGTCTCGGGGGGGATTTGACAACAAAACCTGACATTTACCGCCTGTGTGTCAGACTGATGCATGTTTTTAAAAAAAGATATATCTCTGGAATCTGTGTGTGTGTCCCATTATCCACAGGGACAGAAAATATAAGGCTATAGACAACGGGGGAGTGCTTTTTAAAATAAAGTGCAGAGTGTTTGGTGTAAATGGTGGCTTCATACCTCTATTATACTTTTCCCCCGGGGACATTGGCGTTCCGTACAGGAAGCCATTATCCAAGGGGGTGCCTTTGGGTGAAGCGCAGCCACTCGGGTAGGTCTGGGAAATTCTGCCGGTTGCATTTAAAAATCATGGGGTCATCGTGGATAGCTGTAGGGACAACATAAAAGAGGAGGAGACAAGCAGATGCATGAAATGAAAATGAGGATACGTCCCTTTGTTTGACGAGGACAGAAGAGGCGGATTCATTTGATTTCCACTCTCACCGTAGAGTTTTGACCGAGGTTCAATGTCGTTCTGGAAAGTCTCTCTCAACAGCTCGTATGTGAATAACCTCCCCACAGGAACGGTCAATTTGATCTCTGCTTTGGCCCCGAGCAGACTGACAGCACAAACTGTGTGGAAGTTTAAAAAAAAAAAAAAAAAACACCAAAAGATGAATCTGAATGTTTGAAAATGGAGAAACAAAAGCTTCAACTTGACACTCAAATATGACAACACAGAAGCTCTTGTGTTGCAGTCAGACAGTGCAGCATACAATCCTCGACAGCTGCTATCAGGGACCAAATGTTCACACACTTAAACACAACAGACCTGACACTAAGAAAGGCCTTTCTGGTGCTGTAATATTGAAGCTGTAACAGAAAGTGTGATACTTAATGAATTAACTTGCCTGTTAAAAAGAAGAGCCAGCTCCCGCAGCAGCCTGCCATCTTGTTCGGGCCTTTGATTGACAGAGCCAAGCGGAGAGGGGCTTGGTCACAGCCAGAGACATGTCAGAGCTATTTTTGCCTCACTCACCTAAAAACATCCGGCAGGCTGTCTGGGAATAAATCAAGAGCCGGATTATTTCCTCTGGTACAATCAAATCATTCACTCAGAGCCTAAAGCAACAATTTTTTTTTTTTTAATTGAAGCACTTGATGATTTGAGCTACTTTTCTTGAGTATTTCTAATGTCTGTGACTTCATACTTGTATTCATTAGAACATATTTGACACAGCTGAGTTTTCCTGATGATGAAAGTGACTTTACAACATAGATTAAATACACTAAAGCCTATAGACTAATGATATCACTGTGCAGGACAATGTGCCTGATATAGCCTATACTTTTGATACTCTAGGTATATTTCTGATTTGTACTTATATCACCAGGGCCACACATTGAAAACCAGATGATTAGACTCTTTTTTTTAGACACTTTTTAGTCATCTTTTATGACATTTTTCTCTCTTTAAATGTTTAAATATCACAAAACAGTACTAAAGGATGGCACTTCTGCTTTACTGAGATGTGATTTACAACTTTCCAATTTGACAGCACCACAATATTTTGGTCCTCTTTATAATGTCCTTGAGACTAGACCTTCAGCTGCTGGGAAATAAAGTAGCTTTGATAATAAAAGCGAAAGAAGAGGACAGCTTGATAAGAGTCTTGGGACAGAAATAATCTGTCGGCCTTGTAGTTAAATCCGCTCTGTAAAGTTATAAGTTACAGTTATATATATAGTTGCTAAACCAGCCCTCGACTAGATACCGGTAAATGGAAATGCTTTGTCTATCTTCAGTGATAATGCTTCATGTATCTATCAGCACAGATGCAGAATGCAGGAAGCAACAATGTGGCCTGCCTGTGAACTACGGATGTGTTATTGGTGACAGAGGTTTGACGTGAGTGAAGATTGACTGGGTCCTAAAGCTAGTCTGGTTTTATTTAAACCACAGTCGCCTTAGCTAAAAGATTTAAGAAGTTGCAATTGTGTTTTTATTTATTTTGTTGGGGAAATTTACAAAGTAGGAGGCATATAGCCTACTCCTACTAGAATACCTATTAAGTGTTTGTTATTATGTAATTTAATTTATTTTTAATTTATATTTTATTGTGAAGCACTTTGTGATGTCTGCTCTTGAAAGGTGCTATAAAAATAAACTTTGATTATTTACCTTTAATGCTGTTGGGTTGACCTTTTGACACCACATTCAAATTTAATTTCCTTATTTTAATCTTTTTTTTTTTTAACAAATAGTGATGCCATTGTTTTTGTTAACAACGAATTAGTTGGAACTATTTCCTTTTTTTATGATTATACTTTTTTTTATAGCACTTTGAAGCTAGAAGGAAATATAATGAACAAAATAAACACAATGAAGAATTCAATTGTCTGATATCGATGACCATCATAACTATTATCAGAAACCCATCGGTCATGTCCAAATCCTGTTGTTGTCATTTAATAAACTTGTAGCTAACTGTTGCCATGGTTATACACGAATTTCAACTAAGTAGCTAATGGTATTTTACTGTTGTTAGCTTAATTAGTTAATGTAACTGCCCCCACTTTTTTATTAGAGTTATTATAATTGACTAAATATGTTTATACAAATTATACATGTATTGTTAATTAGTTCAGTTTTTTCAGTTAACTGCCACTCCAAGCTTTCTGTAAGAGGCTAACATTTAGCTCTGTTTAAAAAGCACTGTTTTAATTCAGTATATATTAAAAGTAACATTATACCCACAACATATTACTATTATTAGAATTTTGTATATACCGGTAATAATAAATTAGCATTGTAGGTATTTAAAAAAAATATATATATATAATTATTATTATTTATTTATTTAATTTAATTTAATTTAATTTAATTTAATTTAATTTAATTTTTATTTTTATTTTTATTTTTATTTTTATTTTTTATTTTTTTTAATATATTTTTCAATATCTATTTTTTTGTACATTCCAAATTTTTATTTTTATATTTAAATTGCACTGATGGTCACTTTTTGTTTGCAATCTTTGCTCTTTGCTTGCTGTAACACTGTAAATTTCCCCATTGTGGGATAAATAAAGGATTATCTTATCTTATCTTATCTTAGAAGTAATATTCACAGTCTATGCGAGAAGTAAAAGGACGGGCACTAGGACCCGGATGCCTCCTCCTCCTCCTCCTCCATGCAGCAGCACTCTGCCGCTGCTAGAGGAGGACCAGAAATCTGCAGCTCACAGAATGAAGAGATCAAAATGATGCTGCCTGCAAAAAGGGATTAAACGTAAGCAATCTGTCGTCAGCTGCGGTAAATCTCCGGCTCATTACTGCTCTACTTCTCTGTGTATGAATATGTTTTAATGTCCGATGACTGCAAATATCTGCGAGGGCTGGGTGTGCATTGTTTGTGCTGCAAGCGAGCTAATGACAGATGCATCGTGCTCACTTTCTCCGTTGCATTGGACGAGTATTGCAGCGGATGCAGGCAGGCCTTTAATGCGAGCTGTTGTTTTTGTTTCTCCCCATCTGCCGGTCTAGTCTGGGCGCCACCTCGCCAGGATCTGCTGCTGCTGCTGCTGCTGGTGGATAACAACAGATTTGCCACCGGGGGAGTTGAGACAGGAGACATGCCGTCGCTGAGCATCCGTTGCGTCGCTTGAATGACCATGATGAAGACCGAATCCACATCCAAGAGCACCGGCTCTGGCTCCACGCTCAGGAGCCCATCCCCGCACAGAAACGCGTACGAGGCGGGGATGCAGGCCCTGAAGCCCGTCAAAGACAATGCGGCGAACGGGGACCTGCAGGACGGCCCCCGAGGGCGCAGGTACGGCTCCAACGTGCACCGTATCAAAAACATGTTCCAGCAGATGACGACCACATCCCCGGCCGACGCGGAGGGGGAGGACGTCGCCAAGATCGCGGAAAAATCCGTGCGCCTCACCCTCCCCAGGGCAGGGAGCCTGAACGAAAACGTGGACCACAGTGCGCTCCTGAAGCTGGGCTCCACCGTCTCCGAGCGAGTGAACAAGTTCGACATCAAACCCGAGAACGGGCACCAGCGGGCCTCCTCGCCCAGCTACTCGAAGCTGCAGGAGACACGCCGCATCTTCGAGCAGCAGCAGCAGCAGGAGAGGCAGATGCAGGAGAGGCAGCAGCAGGAAAAGCTGGCCACCACCAGGGTCCTCCTCAAGACAGACAAGGCCTCGGGCTTCCAGGACGGCAGGCTGGACGTGGTGGCTCGTTTCAACGGTAGCACAGAGTCTCTGGACAGCCTGGACACCAGTGACGCCGTGTCCCCTACTGTCAGCCAGCTCAGTGCGGTGTTTGAACGAGCAGCCGAGCTCCGAAACAACCTCCACCGCCTCTCCTCCACCCCACCTCTGCCCTCCAGGGGGGTCAGCGCCAAGGTGGGTGTGTTGAACTCAAAAATAATCACCAAAAGGGCTTGCACCTTTGCGGCAAGCAACAGGGAGGATGAGGTTAGCAATCAGAATGGGCAAGAGGGGCCTCAAAGAGGGAGAACGACATCCCCGTCTGGAGGCGTCAACGGGGGTCAGAGCGCCCAAACCGCTGGACATTTAGGTTCTCTGGGAGAGCAGAGAGAAAAGACGGTGGCAGATGCAGGTGTGGAGGCAAAAGCTGAGAATTCTCATGAATACTCTGAGCCAAAGAGCACATCGCTGCAAGGCGACGTCTCGGTGGAGAACGGGGAAACCGCAGGTGAGAAGCAGACCTCTCCCAAGGGGGGCGAGATGCTCAAGCAGCAGGGGGCAACGGGTAAGGAAGCAGAGGAGGAGGAGGAGGGAGGCCGGACAGTCAGGGAGGACCAGTCGGGACGGGACTCTGTGGATATCAGTACCTACAGCGCGGTCGGCGAGGACTTTGGGGGAAGCCAGGTGGATGAGGAGGAGGAGGAGGAGGAGGAGGAGGAGGAGGAGGAGGAAGACGACAGCTATGAGGCTGAGTCCAGCTGTGTGGAGATCGTTGGGCTGCCTGCTGAGGAGGAGCCGCCCCCTTCCAGGAAGATCCGATTCAGCATAGAGCCCATCAAGGTGAGGCTTTTTTTTTTTTTTTTGTGAGAGACTTCCAGCAATCACAATCCAGACACATAACATCAAATAACTTCACATCATCTTACCTAGATTGTAGAGCAGGTGTTGCCCTTTCAGTAGTATACACCTGTATAAGATTTTCTACATACTTAAACATAGTTTGAGTTTCATTTAAATGTCACAAAGAATTCAGTAAAACCGCTGTCGATTTATAATTTATGTACTTTGATGAGTTGATATCGTACATGTGGCCACTTGGAAATGGGACCATGGTGTTTTCTAACATTCATCCCAGGCTTTTGAAATGGAATAAAATCAAAATAATTTTGTTTTAAAATGTGTCATGTCAGGATATATGGTGTTTTTTGTATAAAGAATCCTTACAGCATTGCAGTCAGTCTCAAAAATAAGAGTTTAGAAACCCATCTTAAAGTCTAACAATAATCTGTGGACGTCTGTAACTTTAAATCACACAACTTTGATCAACAGTTGAGACAAAGATTAAGCGTGAACATATTTTTTATTCTCATAAAGAGTAAATAATCTATCCATTTAAATAGTTCCTCTGTGTAACCTCATGCCTTTTGTAATTAGTTTCTGGTCTTTAATTCTGTTTATATTCTGGTGTTTGTTTGATATTTCCATCCAGTCTGTTGAGAGTCTTTGTCGAAACCTGACCTTAAAGCTTATCTTCCCTGACACAGTCAAAGCCAGCTCCACTGTCAGCTGTTATAATGAACTCACTCAGCTTCTGCCGGTGTCAGAATGATGCTGACATTTTGATTTTACCCCACGTTTTCAACACGGGGCTCTTCACACACCGCTAAAACAACCCCTCCCTCCACAGTGGCCCAGCTGCTAATGGACGGTCCGGCCTGCATTCCTGCTGTGCAGCTGACACGGGCCCCCAAAAGAGCCTCAATGTAGATACTTATCTGAAACGCAGTGGGAGCCGCTGCTTCTGTAAATAATTGCCAGGGGAGGCGGTAACAAAGAGACCTGGGTAATTAGTCGTAGAGAGAGAGAGAGAGAGAGAGAAGTGGATACTCTGCTGCTGTGCAAAATGCAAGGCCAGTGGAAGTGTTGTGCGTGAGAGAAAGAGGGAAGTGAGAAAAGCGACGGCTCCCTTCTCGGTCCAGTGAGATGAAAGAAGAGTAGAGACGAGGAGTTGATTTAAAGTGTCTCTGTGTGTCTGGGGGTGGTGTAATGATCTGGAGAAGAGCATCGGATCCTCGCCGGCTCAGGCTCTGCCTCGAGGTCTGGAGCGTACAGAGAGCTGGAGTGGGCCCTGACACTGCACATAAAGCACACATTCCCTCACGCAGAAAGCCATTTCAGTGACTAAGGGCTCCTGTCCCTTATCACGACCAGTCATGTTGAAAGTTGCTCTCGCTCTCCTCTCATGGCTGCACATTTGCACAGTCTTGTCTGCTCACTAGAGCGTGACGTTTCAAAAACTTGTGGGTTTTTATGACAAATCCAGCTGAGGCTGCGAACACATAATAACGATCTAGACAGGAGATCAGGGAAAATTAACTTTATTGTCAACATTTGCCTTTTTTAACTGCAGATTGAACCGTTCTACAAATTAGAAATAGCAACAGATGCACGTTAGTCTGCATTTCTTTTGCTTGTTTTGGATTTATTTTTGGGCTTTTTACACCTTTTATTGGATAGGAAAGTGGAGAGAGTAGGACATTTATGGAGAGAGAGAGGAAATGACATTCCTTCTTGAAGACTATAGCCTCTGTACATGCGGGGCGACCTAACGTGCCCGCTTTTGCTTGCACTTGGAAGTACACGCCCCCCAAAGTGTTGCTTGAAAGTGGATGTCCTCCGTGGAAAATAAATGTTGAACTGAAAGTTGAAGATGACGAAGGTATTGACAGAAAAGGGTAACACGAGGTCTTTTTTTATGGACACAAGTGGCAGCCTAGCTAGCAGCTCCCTTGATGGACAGCCTGCTGCTGACAAACCTGCTCCCATGGAAAAGCTTGCGATTGGTGAACACTGGAGGAATCCTAACCTAGAAACAAGCTAAGCTCCCATACACAAGCTAAATTAGCAGATGTTTGTGTATGTCCTCCAGGTCATGGGAAATCGAAACGTGATTGATTGCCACAGAATTACGTGAAATTTTCTTCTTTGGCAGTAAAACAGAAGCAAAGATTGAAACGGTCTTTGGTGGCAGCAAACGTAACTATCCAGGCTGCTCGTTTGGAGCTTAGAGGAATATTTGACTCTGGAGAAACAAGCAGACTTTTTTGTTTTTTACCATGCTTATAAATCACTGTATCTAATCTGTGCATTTACTGACCAACCCGATCCCACATTTGAGGCTCTATGCGTTGTATTTTGAGTACTGGTACTTGTATTGGAAGAACTGTAGTTGCTGGTGGTGGTCATGTGCCAAAAAGGACGAGAAATTCAGTAGTTTACGACGGAGAAAATCACTAGATGGTGTTAAAATAGATGTAAACAAAGCGTGAAGGAAATTCATCCAGTATGTTTTTCATTCCTCAAGGACACACACCGTGCGTTTATTGTAAACACATTTCAACTGGGCGTCCAATAAAGAATACATGTAAGTCCATAATACCGACAAATAATGGCAGAATTGTGTATTTCTATTGACATAAGCCGTATTGACAGTGTTGCTCTGAAATCCAGCCCAACCTGGATTGAAGCACACTGTCTTCTCCATGCTGAAAATCCGAGTAATCCCACATAAATAACGCCTGAGCTCTTTGCGTCCATCATGTAATTGTAATGCAGGAGAAAGACAAAAACAGACTTCTATCACATTATCATTTTATCCTCATGAGATCAAAGATGGAAAGCGTTAGCAGGAAGTTGTTATGCATGCTGTGACAAAGAAGTCATAACTCGTAAGCCGTGATTTAAAAAAAAAAAAGAAAAGGAAAAAGACAGAATTTGGTTGTGACCCCTGCAGCCGTCATCGCAGAATAACCTCCTATGGAGTCCTTTCACACTGTATCAGAGCGGCCTTTGTTATGGAGATGCTGGGGTGGATGAGAGTAAAAGGGTAGGGGGGGGGTGTCGAGGTCAAATGGGAGGGACGTTATTATGCGGCTCAAATGTCATGCGAGTGCAAAGCTGCCTCCTCTGAAATCACACAGTGTCACTCAGATTGTTTTGCTAAACAGGATGCGCCTGGTTTTTTTTTTTTTTTTTAGTGCATTTTTCCCCCTCGGTGCAACAACTCAGCTTTCGGGTGCAATTAGTCTAGCTGTTGTGATGGCGGTTGGATGTCTGGGTGCTTGTCTGGCTTCGTCCCCGTTTTACTCTAAACTCTGTCTGTCCGTGCTCCAAACTGTCCAAAAATAGCAGCTCTGCTTTCGGGTGGAGTTCACACTATAACCCCTTTTTTGTTTTGCTCCTCCTGACACTCCTTCCCTCGCTCCTTCTTCTTCTTCTTCTTCTCCCTCTTTCGCTCTTTGTCACCAGTCTCCCACTGTTAGTAAAAATAGCAGCATTGTTATCGTCACAGACTTGCCTCGCTTTTTTTTTTTTTTTTCGCCTGCCTCCTTGTCGCAACACAGGAAGCTGCCTCTCATGTCTTATTTATTCGTTTAGCTTGTTTGTTTTGGCTTCTTCTGATATCACTCGGCACCCACGCCGTAGTTTATGATGAAGCCTGCTGGCATGTTGTGATTTTTAATTATTCATCCTGTTGCTAGAGGGAAGAAGTTTTAAAATAAAATAGGATTTGCACTGTTCTACCTCTGAAGTAGAAGTACTAATTATTTTCCATGCACCAGAATCACCTTGTGCACTTATCACCTAGCTTACTATAACACTTTTAATCCCTCTGTTGCCACACACACACTCTCACACACACACACACACACACACACACACACACACACACACTTTCTCGTGGGTTTTCTGCTGCCTACGCAACACTGACTGAACAACAGTCCTGCCAGGCTGCATGAAGAACACCTATGATTTTCTTTCACACTGTGTCATTAACACAAACAGAAAATGTTCTCATGTTATTATAAACTGAGGGTGTTTGATATTCTGAAACAGAGAAGGATCTAGTGTTGTCACAATTCCTGAATTATAAGCTTGAATATGATACTGGAAGCCCAATGAACCCAACATTAGATAATTTCTTGAATCGCCAAAGATTAGTAGAAAACTCCTGCACATGCAGTCATGCAATTTAGGCGATGTCACCTCCTCTACTCTTCAGTGTCGGAGATTTTGACGAACCTGTGCTTTTCTCCAAGTTGCAACCATTGCTTCAAACTAACTGTGCAGAAATGCAACCTTTGGTCGTTGTAACCTTGTGCTCACCGCTCAGGTCGGCCAGTGAGGGATCACCTAAGGAGAGGTAATTCATCACCATATGTCAACGTATCCTCAAACTGTCTATTACTTAGACTCAGCAGGCCGGCGGTGTTTCATGCATTGCACTACTCACAGGCAGCTGTGAGAGAGAGAGAGTGAGAGAGAGAGAGAGAGAGAGAGAGAGAGAGAGAGAGGTGGGAGACAAGGTCACTCTGCCCCACTTCCTCTCAGTTCTGCAGTGGTGGTGGGTTGCAGACATTTAACAAGGGTGTGCCCACTCACTCAGGTTACCGCGACAAAAAGCGTGTCATGCAACGTGTCTCTCTTTTGCTCTTGATGTCTGGGCGCCGTTTGCTTCTGTGCAACCTCGCCACCGTGTTGTCAAGCTTCGAAGAACCAGGGTCACCTGTGAGGCGGCACCTGTGCTGCAGGTAGGATCTAGGTACTTAAAGCTACTTGAATTGATCCAAAGGTAACACATTTCAAGCTCAGAGGTTTAATGTTTAATAACAAAAAGGTTAAATCTTTTCAAACCAGCCCAAGAACACTGACGACCCCAGCACCCTCGGTCACAAGCCCGTTTGTTCTTAACTTCAGAGACAAATCTTTGATAGAATAGTTCCAGAAATAAAGATTGAAATAAGCGCTTTGGACGAAGATCATTCGGTGAGGAAATTATA